TTCCAAAAAGTACCAGCAGTCTGGCAGACTGAGAGTTGGCATTGCCAACAATGAGGGTGAGTTGGGAAGAGGGTAGATGTTATGGCAATGCCTGTGACAATACAGTCACTGTGAAGTACCTGTGAAACTTCAGATAATATTTACAAGCGCAGTAGATGCTCATAAGATTTCCCAGCAATATAGTATTGCAATCTGAGTTCTAAAGGAAGGTGAATATAGCATCAGGAGAAATGCTGCAAAAGGAAATCCTGAGGAATTTCCTTTCCAAATAGCAGCATATTTCTGTATCTTAAATGTTTAACATTTTATATTTCAATCAGGTTTGGGCAACCCAGGGACTGTGGACTGTTTTGGAGTCTTTAGAGCACCACTACCAACAAAATGCTTTTTTAAAAATTGAAAGAAGGAGAATGGTACTACCAGAAGCCTCCAAGAAATGTCATTCACCTTAAAACAAGCATTTTTTAAAAGCCAAAGGTGATCTTCTAGTCCAGTGGTACCCAACCTCTTTTTGACCAGGGACCCACTTGACCAGGGACCACTTTGACCAGGGACCACTCTCCAACATTAATATCAAAAGAGTTACGAATCAGTTTTTGGGCAACTTTAGATTTAGTTTGGTTATTTATGGTGCTGATTCAGAAAACTGCATTGGATAGACCACATTAGCTCTAGTTTCCTATTCAGAAATATGCCATCCAGTAGTCACTATCTGCTCGCTCACAGAAAATCATATTTAATAAGCTTCAGCAATATAAGAGAGTTTTGTGAGACCAGCCACTTTTGTTGCAATGGTGTAGTATCGGTGAGGCTGCAGACCATATTTTAGTTCTTCGGGACCACTTGTGGTCCACAGACCACAGTGGGAACCACTGTTCAAGTCCCTTCTGTTTTGGTGGAATGGTGTAGCTACCTTGACTTTCAGGATTCTAGCTTCTTTTGAACTATAATCAACACAATTCAAGCTGTAATATTCATTGACTACATATGCCATTTCTTTATTACAGTGATACCCTGTAAAATTTGGGGTGGTATAAATAGGATTCCATGAGGTCTGTCTTCCAAATAGGCATCACATCTGTACCCAGTTGTCTTCTACAAGCTTTCCACATCATGCATCACCACCAGACATTGAGCAGTTTGCACATTAGAGACTCAGGTCTGTGGATTCAGAGCATTCTCTTCTATAGGTTGCATCTACATTCTCAAATTGCCATCCCTTTCCCTTCTTATTTGCTTGCTTCTGGAGCAAAGGGAAATTTTGGAATTGGGAAAAACCTTGGAGACTCAGTCCAACCAAAAGTCACATTCAATATGCAGGGCTACAATAAAAGATGCAGCTTCATCTTCCATAGCAGATGGTCACCAAGCCTCTGCATAAATATCTCAAGAAAAGTGAGCCTACTAACCCTTAAATGAAGCTTTTGTGTTGTTAAACAACTTCCACCCTTAGAAAGTTTATTATTATTAGGAGAGAAAGAGGTACAAGAAAAAGAACTAATTTGCTCATTATGCTTTTCTGCCTTGCTCCTCTTGTCTTTCTGAGTTATAATTAGCTTCAAAAGGGAGAGCTAGATAAGCAGGCCATTTAGTCATTCTTCTGCCTTTCTTCAAGACTGGCTTTCTCTACTCAAGGCGAAAGGAGAGGAAGGGAAGAAATTGGAGGGAGTATGTGAGGGGAAGACCCAATATAAATGTTGTACCCCACACAGTGCTTTCACAACAACAACAACAACAACAACGATGTTTATTTCTATCCCATCTCTCTTCCCAGGGGCCTCAGGGCGGCTTACAACATAAATAATACAGTATAGTGCAATATAGTAATATAGTAATATATATATGTATGTATGTATGTATGTATGTATGTATTCCTCTCCTGACTATGTCCTCTTATTGACATAGAAAAAGGTAAGTTGGTTGTTGTGGAGGTTGGCATTCTCTACCTCCCTTTACTATGACCAAAGCTGCTGATACCTCTAGAGGATCTGATGGGTCTCAATGAATGATGTCATCATCCTGTATCTGATTATGGGGACATAACCAGATGCTTCTCAGATATCATTGCCCATAGGTTGAGAGGAAGATCCTAATGTCAAAGTAAAGAGTCCATGAGGATGTTGAGAAGAAAGACATAGTTTGCACCATTTGCGAAACACTATACTTTGCTATACAGGCTTTCAGCCAAGGAGAGGGAAGGGGGAATAGGTAATAAGTTGTTTTGAGAAGAACAGCCCCTCTCCTTCTTCTCTTTGGATACTGCCTATGATAAGGCATATCAACTCATATTTGCAAGGTCAAGGTCCTTACACTGGAACAAGAAGCATGAGCCTGGTGAGACACATCTTCAGAAGGCACTTGTCTCTTGTCAGTGAGAGAGGAGTTTAATGGGGGAAAGATGACAATAGCTGGGCACACTTGGAAGCAGGTTCAGTATCCTTATTCATTGAAAGGATTTTGTAGTCCTTTGTCAGCTTTATAGTTTAAGTATTGCATGTCAGCTGAAACTTCTTAGCTTCCCAACGTCAACCAAAGCAATTAGTGCTAATGGTACTCATTATATATTCATTATATAACATAATTTGTTCTAAGAAACACAGGCTAAAAGAGCAGACGATGAAAATAGGAACTGCTAATTTCATAAGGTGGGCTTTTGAAGGGTAGTTCTTTAGGAAAGGGAAGCTGTGGCATCGGAATTATTCATTCTGTTGGCTTCTGTTTTACTGAATGTGTCTCTTTCTTTGACAATTTGACTGTTATAAGGCAAAATGGCTTTATTCATTTATTACCTACTAGCTGTCCCCTGCCATGCATTTCTGTGGCCCAGTCTGTGTATATGTGCTTTGTGTGTATATATGTTATATATGGGTGTGTATATATATTTGTGTATATGTGTATACATGTGTGTTTGTGTGTGTGTGTGTGTGTATGGATGGTTTTTGGCATATGTTGTAATATATTTTAAAATATTTTTTGGCCTTTTAAGTCTCTTCTGCTGTGTTTTTCAGTGTTTTATGAGTGATGGTCACTCCTTGCCCTGATACGTGTATTGTGTCCAAATTTGGTGTCAATTCGTCCAGTGGTTTTTGAGTTATGTTAATCCCACAAACAAAATTACATTTTTATCTATATAGGTTTGAAAAGTTATACCCCCCCCTTCCAGTTTATATGAACAGGGCTAAAAGCAATGTTTAAAAACATTGAAAGAAAATGGCAATATAATAAAGATGAATATGATTCACAGAAACATTGCATTTTTCAAAATCTGACAATAACTTAAGGAAATTTTGACTGGATGAGATCAAATGCATCTCTCATTAATCATTCTGGTCCCATACTAACTAATCTGAAGTCTCTCAGAAACCTATAGACAGGACCTGTTCCTCCAACATCACTCCTCTATATGGCCATTGATAGTCCTTCCCCCATAAATCTATCCAACCTGTGAAGCAGTCTGTTCCAGTGGCTAGAGTTTTGGAGCGGAACTTAGAAAATCTGGCTTCAAGTCCCAAATGAGCAGACTTGGAAAATTGCTTGTTAAATATTACTCATCTAAAAATACAATGGCACTCTCTCTTATTATTTTAATTCTTAAATGGACACCAGGGAAGGCTCTTCTAGCCTAAGGCTTTCACTTAACAAAGATATTTATTGTTCATGCCAAAAATTTCTTCCCTGAGATGTCAGTGATGCTAATCACTCATCTGTATTCTGAAGTAGTACATACCAGGGATAACTGTATATTTCCATCTGTTTGAGACTGGGGGTTCTTAGCTTGGTTGCTATGATTATACCTGTGAAGGTAAATAACTTAATTTATCATTTGTATGTGTGCCATTAATTGCTGTGACAACTCAGTAACTATTGAGTTAGGTAGAAAAACTAAGCAATATTGATTAAACTAAGAAATCATGTGTACTTAATGTATCTACAGTTGTGGTTCTAGGTATTAACGGTATCAAAGTTTGCAAAGTATTTCTGTAGAACGGCATGCATAAGAATAGGTGTGGTGTGTGTGTCTCTCTGGGTTTCCATGGATGCAAGGGTTGAGAAAGAAGGGTCTGTCTGCTAGCTAACATTGTATCTGGTGCTTTACCCATTCTGATATATAGTACTCCCCCCCCCCCCCCCCCCCCCCCCCCGCTTCCACTATCAATGAATCCAATACCTGTGGTTTCATTTAACCAGCATTGAAAAAATATGTCCTAGGAGAACCATGAAAAAGTATTTTCTAGGTTCTCCATCATAATTCTATGGTATGTTTCCACCAGAGGTTGACCATAGATTCACACTGGAGGACCTAAAAATAGTAGAGTGTTGTTCTCTCTGGGCATTTCTAGAACTTTTAGTGCACCTGAAGTCATCATTTCAATAAGGTTTGCTATTATCTGTGTTTTTGCATATCTGTTGAAAATCTAGGAACATTTTTTGCAGCTATTTGGGTCATACTGTACATGTGTAGATCATCCCACTCCACAAATACTTGGATTGTTTGCTTGTGAGCCCTGTTTACTTATTTCCTGCCTTTATCCCAAGACAGGAACCAAGTTCCTTCTCATATTCATCAAGTGCATGATTGGTGAAATGACTAGTCACCAACCTTGTATAACTCCATGCCATTCCTTGATTATTTCTGGAATATCTGAACCTCTTTGTTGTAAGTTAGGTGGGCAATGTTAGCTTTGTTCAACCATTGCCTGACTCTTCATGAGGCCTTGTTTAGCTGTTATTTTCATGGTCAAACAAACTAATAGTTGGAGGAGTGCTTGTTCACAAGCAAAACGGCTTCTAGAACTATGTTCACCTCTTTCCTTAAGAAAAATTAAGCTGCTCATAGCTTCCAGATTCCAATATTGTTCTAGATCCCATATTTTCAAGTAGCTCTCCTGTTATGTCACATGTGCTTCATATTTAGTTGCTGTACAGAAATGCCTAATCTATTTTTCCTCTTTCTCTGTCCCTCTCCCTCCTTCCCACATGCTTTTCTCTCTTTGCTTTAGAAGATGGTAGGAAACTCAAAGGCGCTATCCAGCGGAGTACTGAAACTGGCCTGGCTGTTGAAATGCCCAGCCGAACTATTCGACAAGCTAGTCATGAATCCATTGAGGAAAGCATGAACAGCTATGGATCTGAAGGAAAGTAAGTAATAATATGTATTGTCGAAGGCTTTCGTGGCCGGAATCACTGGGTTGTTGTAGGTTTTTCCGGGTTATATGGCCATGTTCTAGAGGCATTTTCTCCTGACGTTTCATAAGTAATAATAAGCAGAGATACATCCAGAAAATTTCAAACAAGCATGTTAAACCTGCACACGCACACATGAGATTTCCTCTCTACAACAGCAATTAACTGACTTCTCAATGATTTAGGGACAGCTTTTATTACTAAGCATGGTTTATGATGGGGCATCTCCTCACTGGCTAGCAGTCTTCCCATTCACTCCACAGAATTAGAGTATTGTTATTTCACTAACTGCCATTTTTTCATTCCAATTCTGGGATTTGAAGTTTGATGAAATTTCATCCAGGGCACTCTAAGGCTTCATCAAATTACAAGCCCAAGAATTCTTTAGGATGAAACCATGGCAGTGCTATAACTGTGTAGTGTGATCAACCCAACTATTTAAACAGTAACAATAGTGTTTCTGAGCTCTGTTTTGGGGGCCACTAAGATTTTTGTTGCCTCAGCCTACATATTGCTATCAGAACACAATGACCAGAATGGCTATAATTTAAAATTTTAGAAACAAAAGTATAGAAGGAAAAAGATCAATAATAACTATCACTATCATCTCATAGTATAAGCATCCCCACTTATTCAATGAATTCGGCACCAGAGCACTGTTAAAAAGTGAAAATGGTCGAAATGTGAAATCCACTCCTACATTTTAGGAGTAGATATCTTTTTATCTCTCTGCTAGTACTATGATATACTGTTAATATATATAGATATACATGCACACATATATAAACACACAGAATGTGCATGTGTGTGAAGAGGATTAGATGAAGGAACACTATTACCAGACTGCTGATTGGAAAGTATAAATGCATCACATTAGCCCATTTAACATCATTGGCTATACAATCAATGCACACATGGTGCTTTTGTAAATTAATTGGGATGTTTTACATTCATGTTCATGTTATAATATGCAAATACTGTATTTCTTCAATTCTAAGAGACACTTTTTCCCTATATAAACATCTCTAAAAATGGGGTGCGTCTTAGAATTGCAGGTAAATCTTATGATTTTTTTCTTGATGATAGTATACTGAAATTAGGGTGCATCTTACAATTGCTGGTGTCTTACAATTGAAGAAATATGGTGTGTGTGTGTGTGTATGCACACACAGTATTATATCATTGTATATGTTGTATTATAATGACAAATACTGAATGGTACTGTATAAGAGATGCACTGTCCACCATCTAAGATGCAATATGAATGATTGAACACAGACTGAACAAAAAAGATGGTGCCAAGCCAACTGAGAGAGAAAGGGGAAAAATACAGTGCATGGCCATACGATTGTTGTACAAATAATGATGAAAGAGTAGTGTGCATATCAAATATATGGGATCTGGGTATAATTTAGAATGGTCAAAAGAGTAGGTCATCAAAATGCAAGTTATCAAAAAGCAGATCATGCCTGTAATAGATTGTGGAAGTTCGGCTCTGAGCCACAGGATATGAATTCTTTAATGCCGCTATTAAGGGATACAGCAAATGTTGATGTTCTTTGACAAACTGCAGTACATTCAGAGCTAACCAATATCTGAAATGAAAGGTCTTATGCTGCAGCCTTTTAGCATTACTGATTCATGGGCCAAGATCATATTGAATGCCAGTGAGGTAAAACTCTCTGGCCTAGCAACAGGGAATTATATGCTACTTGTCATTCTGTGTGCAATGGTGACCACTGGCAGAATGCAAGGTCTACTGTTGCAACGAGCAGCAAAATTATCAAATTGCTCACACTACGACCCTTTGAGTGAGTGATTTGACTCAATAGGAATCTAACCACTGCTTACTATAGTTAGCTGGAAATGGAATTAAGTGCTTGATGCCTCCTCCTATTTCATAACTTAGTATTATATTATCCAAAAATGTCCTTCCCAGCAGCCAAAACCTATCGCTTAGTAACAAATAATTGAAGGAAAATGTACCAGTGGTGTTAATTAACATTTTCTCCTTATGAGTTCAGCTAATTTTAACACTTCCTAATGCATGTGGGTGGGCAATTACAGATGAATGGTCTATTAATTGTCCCTTGAATAACCTTGTTAACTACATACATGAAAAGGGTTTTAGTGATGATAGAAAATTCTCTGGTATAACTTATTAAAAGTGAAGTTGGGAGCAAAAGAGAGCCCTCAATAACCTAAGGGTCCAGGTGACACATTTCTGAATCTATCAATTTCTGTTTCATGAGCCACTTTGGTGAGATGGAAAAGAAAGACAATCTTGGTGAGCTGAGAGGGAGGGTGAGATGTGTGTCTTTAGCAAACCTGAGGTCTTTATCCCAGAAACTGTGAGAGATGGGAACATTGCTTTTTTTGTTGGCTGCTGACCCTTGGTGACATTAGTAGCCATTACACCTGTTTCCTTGACACATGAACTCTTCATACCTGTTTCCATATCTAGCAACTGACTGAGGAAAAGGAGGCAACTTGTACCTGAAAGCAAAATGGCCAAGACTATATATAATCATCCACGAATAAACAAGAACCCAGACAGATGTGCCATACCAATCATTTATTTAAAAAACAGTAGGACCCCAGTATTGTGGATAATATCAAACCCCATTTGAACAAAAGAATCCGGTAGAAGCATACCATACAGTTGGAGGATGTAGGAAAATCCCTAAGAGGACACCTCTCTAGGCATTGCTCGATCCTCCAACACAACTCTGTGGTCAAATTCCAAGCATACCATAGAATTGCTTGGAGTATCTAGAAAATGCCTAAAGAGAATATATTTATCAGAAGCTGGTAAATTGTATCAGGCCCACAAATACAGGGGTAACACTGGAGTACTAGCATTTTTTTTTTCACTACAATGAAAATTATTCCTTTTTGAGGCCATCCAACAGAAAGCTTTGAATGTACTGCATGTGATATATCTTTTCATACAGAAACTGCTTGGTTCCCTGAATATTTGAAGGCTTAAATGAAATTATATCAGTTCTTGCAGACATAAGAGTATTGGCACATTTGAAACTTTTTTATTTTTTTACCAAGATCCGATTTTCATGCCGCAGGTCTAAATCCAGTTGTTACACCCAACAAGAGTACACTCAGTGACTCATCGGCTGAGTCAGCCCTTGTGTATATCTCACTAATTTGGTGGGTCTGATGTCTTGTGGACTAGCAGCTTGATTTAGACTGTTGTGTTTAAGAAGAAATTAGCACCTTTTCTTATGATGCTATATTTCTTTTGGAACTCTGTTGTTGTTTCCTTCCTTCTCTCTCATCTAAGCAGAGCTTGAATATGAAAGTCCCCTGACTATGCACTAATGCTACATGGACGAGCCAATATATTTGCACATCATTCCCAAGAGGGCCAACTTTATAAAGGCCCTGCTCTCTGTCCCACCCCCCTCGCAAGCACGACTTGTGGGGACGAGAGACCGGGCCTTCTCAGTGGTGGGCCCTCACCTATGGAACACCCTCCCCAGTGAAATTAGATCTGCCTCATTTCGCCTGACCTTCAGGAAAAAAACTGAAAACATAGCTTCGGGATTAGGCTTTTGGCCAGTAATGGGAGTAGTGCAATATGTGACTACAAATTAATATAATGATGACTCGGACCAGCCTGGAATACGATTTGGATTATGTGATTTTAATTGATTTTTAATGCTATGTTTTTAATGGGTTTGGTTTTAATCTTTTAATGTATTTACCGATGTATTAATATATGGCATTGAATTGTTGTCTTTAAAAGGTTGCCCTGAGTCCCCTTTGGGGTTGAGAAGGGTGGGATATAAATGTGGTAAATAAATAATGAACGAACGAATGAATGAAAAGAATCATGGCTATCATGGAAAATGCAGTCTATTTCTACACTGTCGAAGTGAAAAAGTTCAATTTACAAATCTGTAGATTTTATAATAGAGGCTGCTGTGCAACTACATTGCATTGCAGAACCATTTTGCTGGTGGCAGGTTTGTTTTTTCACTACTACAGCTGCAAAATAGCAGTGCTACAGTCTCAGAATTGTCATAATCATGACCCCCACCCTCACCATAATAGGAATATGATTGCTAGCAATATCTCCAACGCTTAACCTTGTACTTCCCAGATGGATCAGACAGAAGCAAACTGCTGCAGCTTCTCATATCTTATGTGTTCTTCCACATTAATATAGGCACATACCCCCCAGTTAACAAATTTTCTGACAGAAAGAGCTTTGTTTTGCAATCTTTTTCATCTGCCCAGCCCCTGCTTACCTCATTGTGCTGGCCAGCACATGTAAGGAAGGAGGAGTATGAATATTAATGGTAACCCTCTTGTTAACACTCCCTTCTTTGCAACCTTTTCTCAGCACAATAATTCTGCAGATTTTTTTCTCTTTTTCTCTTATTCCCTCTCCTCACTGATCCCAGTATTCATATACATTCCAGTGCTGGCAGAGAAACTAAGCTTGGCTACATCAGAAACAGAAAAATGCAGAACTTTTCTAATTCTGCAATGGTTCTAAAGCTTCACATTGTCTCCAGCTATAGCCTGAGTAGTGATAAGAACTAATTAAAATCAATTGTTATTCATTTTCTATCAAAAGGGGTTAATTACATTTTTGTTTAGCATAACATAAGGTGGAATCCCAATTTACGTTAATTCAATTATTCAGTTATTAATCAATTAAATGAGAGACTGTCTGAGGAGCCAAACATTTCTACAGTTCTTAGCTGACTCTTTCAGGAATGCAAATGGCTATAAGGATCTTTGTTTATTTTTGTTGATTAGGTTTTTTTGGTGTCAGGAGAAACTGCAAGTCGCTTTTGGGTGTGAGAGAATTGGCCATCTGCAAGGACATTGCCCAGGGGACGCTTGGATGTTTTACCATCCTGTGGGAGGCTTCACTCATGTGTCCGCATGAGAAGCTGGAGCTGACAGACGGGAGCTCACTCCACTCC